TTTAAGATGGTATATTAGTTTCTTGTATTTGGCCTTTTTCAATTTTGGTGGTTCCAGTATTCCTATTTGAATACTGTATAATCACCCTTGGGAAATTGTTGCCTGTTTTTTTAAATTTTGGGTCTTTTGACGCCCTTCCCTGTGATTTTGCAGGCCCCAAACCCCTCAGACCCCCTTTTAAAAATTTCCATTTTTTTTAGTTCCGCTTTTAGGGCAAAACGCATTTTTTTTATTTGGGGCCCAAAATTACGCCCCTTTTAAATGGAAATGACACTTGTGTCACTTTAAAGGCCCAGTAACCCCCGTATGAACACATCGTGGATGTTTCAAAATTTCAAAATTCACCATTTCGTTTTAAAATTTAAATTTCTGCTTAACCCGGTGCTAGGGGGCCCGTGGAGGGTTTAAATTGGGCACTTTCCTTTAAACCGGGGTCCATAAAAGGCTTAACCAAACCGAACCTCCCAACCCTTTTTCCAATTTTGTCGTTTTGGGATGTCTCTAGGGATTCGGGTTTTTTCCCCTATTAATGTCCACAACTTTACCTATAAGATTGAGGCAACACATGTTGATCGACATAATCAATTTTTTTTAAATATGACTCTCTTTTGAATGCATTCATTTAACATTGTTTGTTAATGAATGAAAGTCCATTAATTTTTTTTTCGATTAAAATAAAATGATCAGTCAATGTATTTATTACCTTATCTGCTCTTTACACTTAATCGTCGTATAAGTCGGGTCCTTTTCTTCAAAAGTGTCACGAAGAAGGCGGTTTGCTAAGACAAACTATTTATTAACGGCGTCGCCTCGATTTGTTGTTTATCCTAGCAAACGTTTGTAAGAAGACACTTTCGAATAAAAAACTCTTACTATATCCATTACGAAATTTAAAAAAAATTTTAAAAATCCTAAGGAAGGGAATAAAACCGTTAAACCCCAACTCTCCCCCCCCAAAAAACGGGTTTTAAAATTTAAATGCAATTAAATAAAATATGAAATGGAAGAAAAAAATGCATTTTTCCACAAATTTTAAATTTAACTTTATTTATAAAATTTGGGATATTTTTTGTAAGCAGGGGATTCGATTTTATACTAGTTTATACAGGCACCTGCAAAAAATATTATAAAGAATTGTCAATTAGAGTGCTCTAAAAGAAATAAAAAAGAAATTAAAAATGTTTTGGCAATCGGTTGGAGATTCAAAAATCACAATTTGAAAAAAAAGACAAAAGTAATTACAAATAAAGCTTTTATTTACCATTCAAATGACCTACTCTATAAGTTACACTTTTACAGTTTCAATTTGATTTAGCACATGCACGTAGATCACGCATATCAACGCGTTCTTATCAATCATTAATCGTACAATAATAGTAAAATCACAGTAAATATTAAATCATATGAAAAAATATCCATTAGAATAATCATATTCTGATGACTTAACATACATGTTTTTTTATTCTTTTAAACGTATGGCTTGCAAATTTATGAATTCCAGCTGAATTAAGAGGAAAACATATTTCACTGGCCATTGTACAAGTTGTTTTCATCATGACTCATTAAATTGAACCATTTGTATAATTAAAAAGATATACAATTCGGAAACTAATGTGTACCTTCAACATCTTCTTATGAGCACAAGTACCTTCAAACTATTAGAGTGACCTTGACCCTGGAGGTAGGAACATGTGTCTAACACACAACACGTCATCTTGATGTGGTACACATTTGTGCCAAATTTTTTTTAAAACTCTTCAATGCATGACAAACTTATTGTCCGGAAACGAATGTGTGTACCTATAATCTCTAATTGTGATAGCGCGAACCTTCAAAATATAAGTTGACCTTGACCTTTGAAGAAGGGACCTGGTTCTTGGACGCGTCACAACGTTGTAATGTGACAACGTTGACATCTGTGCCAAAGTTGTGTCAAAATCCCTCAAAACATGACAAAGTTACAATCTGAACATGTGTGTTGTGAAAGTGGGGATGGGACGCCCGAACGGACATGAGCCTTAGTAGTAACACATCGTCTTGATGTGGAAGATATTTGTGCCAAGTTATTTTAAAATCCCTCCATGCATGACTAGGTTACAGTCGGAATGTTTATCTGCAAACTCTTCTCAGAAAATGAGTATCTTCAAACTATTAGACTATAAGTATGACCTTGACTTTGAAGGTAGGGACATGGGTCTTAGGCGCAACATGTCGTCTTGATGTGGTAGGCATTCATGCCTAGTCATTTTAAAATCCTTTGATGCATGGCAAATGTTCAGTCCAGACACGAATGTGTGTAATTATTAACTCTAATTGTGATAATGTGAAACTACAAAATGTGACCTTGATCGTTGAGAAAGTGACGTAATTCTTAGACCCGACAAATCGTCCTGGTGTGGTTGACATTTATGCCTAGTTATTTTAAAATCCTTTTATGCACGTCAAAGTTACAGTCAGGACACGAATGTGTGTACATATTAATTCTTATTGTGATAGTGCGAAATTTCAAAATGTAGTGTGACCTTGACCTTAAATGTAAGGACGTGATTTTTAGATGCGACACATTGTCTTGATATTGAAAACATTTGTGCTAAGTTATTTCAAAATCCCTCAATGTAAGACAAAGTTACAGACCTAAAATGAATGTATGAAGGACGCACAGACAGACAGACGATACGATTTTGATATACCGCCTTTCGGGGGCATAAAAACGTGCATTTTCTTTTACAGTTCAAGAACAGGCTCTTGCATTGTTTTAATTTTGCTGTCTATATCAACATTGAAACACTTATTGGAAAATTTACCAGTTGTAGACCAATCAACTTTAAAGAAAATAAAAACTATTAAACCAGGTAGTAATAACGTCTATCGTTTTATGCTTCTTAATTAAAAAGACAAATTTGCAAGACGCAAAAGTCAAATTTCCTATAATGTTAAAATTGATTATGCAATATGTATCAAAATTAATGAGTAATAAAAGAAAAGTTCAATATAAGCAACGTAATAAACAATTATTCTTTTACAGATGAAATAGACATATACTGATTAAAGGCATACTCTGAACTCCAAACTTCTCTTTCGCTTGAAGTAATTAGATCAAACAAATTCATAAACTCTGGAATGCAACCCCGTCTGTTCAAATTACTTGAATAGAATAAAGCAAACACTGTCTTTGAAAAATATTTCCATCATTGTATAAGTCTGTATCTCTCATATCTTTGAACAAATTTATGACGTCGAAGCTTACTCTACAATGATTAAATCCGTTGATTAGACGTGCTTTTACCAACGATAAATCTTCAGTCCGCTGCATGGCCGTCTGTATATTCTAATCTTCTTAGCTGATTATGGTGTTTTTTCTTCAAGCCACCGAATTTTACGACATTATCAGGCCCCATGAATTGCAAACCCAAAAGGTTTTAGTTTATCGTATCCATCGGCACGAATACTTCCTCCGAAGAAGCCGCTTGCTTTTTCTTCCTTCCATGCCATTTTGATCTGCTATCCACATTAATCTTATCACTGTCAGGCCATATTTAAGTTGAAGTCTTTTCCACATTTCTTTATAACCAAAATATTTACCACTCCCGGATAGATCTCTAAGAATTGCACGAAAAATATCTTCATTATTCGATTCTACTGATCGCCTATGTACATTTAGTATCTTTATGATTTTTAAGTGACGATAATTAACTTTCATTCCATGAATCAACAGAAGACTAGCTAACATCTCTTTGTATTTAGTATTCATATCCCACCGAGAACTATCAAATCCATCATCGCTTCTTCATCACAATACGTTCTCATGTTGCCATTGCAAGAAAAGACCATAGAAATAATGATAAAAGATAACACCAGCATCTGCAATTAGATGAAAAGTACAATTACTTATAATATTATTAATTGTACACGAAAAATCCAATTCTGACAAACGGATGCACATAAATTGAAGCCTGATATATATTTTAAACAGTATTTTAAAATATAAAGATTTGGTTTAGACCCGGGGTCTAATTCAGGATATAGCCGGATTTATGTGTTCTAGATCACTATATATGTTCTTTTTAAACAAATTTATATGATTAATTTTCCTATAAATACTTTAAAGGATTTAAAATGAAAATACTGATTTATCTAAAACTTATATAAGTAAATGATCACTATTCATTTTTTTCACGCAATTTCATTACCCATTCAATATGGCGAAAATGACGTCACGGCCACGTGGCATATACGTTAAAGTTAAAATCGTGAATTCGTGAAGTTTAAATCGTGAATTCGCGATGTTTAAATCGCAAGTTCATGAAGTTGAAATCGTGAGTTCATGAAGTTGAAATCGTGAATTCATGACGATGAAATCATGAATTCGTGAAATCGAAATCGTAAATTCACGAAGTTGATTTCGTGAATTCATGAAGTTGAAATTGTGAGTTCATGAAGTTGAAATCGTGAATTCGTGAAGATGAGATCGTGAATTCGTGAAATTGAAACCGTGAATTCACGAAGTTGAATTCGTGAAGTTGAAATCGTGAATTCTTGAAGTTGAAATCGTGAATTCATTCAGTTGAAATCGTGAATTCATTCAGTTGAAATCGTGAATTCATGAAGCTGAAATCGTGAATTCATGAAGTTAAAATTGTGAATTCAAGAAGTTGAAATCGTGAATTCGTGAAGATGAAATCTTGAAATCGTAAAATTGAAGCCGTGAATTCACGAAGTTGAATTCGTGAAGTTGAAATCGTGAATTCATGAAGTTGAAATCGTGAATTCATGAAGCTGAAATCGTGAATTCATGAAGTTGAAATCGCGAATTCATGAAGCTGAAATCGTGAATTCGTGAATTCTGTATGTTGAAAACGTGAATTCACGAAATTAAAAATTTGAATTCTTGAAGATGAAGTCAGGAGATCATGAAGTTGAAATGGCCCTACAGGTCTTTCGTAAAAACAGAAATAACTTACATTTCAATTTTGTTTTTATTTGAGTGAAATGAATAAACAAAAGTATTCAAAAACAGAAATTACTTACATTTCAATTTTTTTCATTTGAGTGAAGTGAATATACAAATGTTTTAAAGGACATAAATTACTTACATTTTAATTTTGTTTTCATTTGAGTGAAATGTATATACAAGTGTGTTTAGAGACAGGAATTACTTACATTTCAATGTTGTTTTTATTTGAGTGAAATGAATAAAACAATGTATTTAAAGACAAAAAATAATAACATTATAATCTTGTTTATATCTTGAGTGAAATTAAAATACAAATGTTTTTAAAGACATATAAAGCAATCAACTAGATACAGTTTACGTCATATATAGAATTGCGAGTATCACAACTTTAATGTCATGCATTACATCGGCCAGGTTTATATCACTAATACGTTTAAGTAGGTATCAGTCATGGGAATGTTTAATTCATATATATTTTCAACAAGACACCAAATAGCATTACTAATCAAACAGAAATTTACTCATTATAACCAATACAAGTAAGATTGACGAGATAGGTCCTACAAAGTATTCATCGACAATTACAATTGAGTAATTATTCAGTTGTTGATGATACATTTAAAATTCTAACAGCATGTTATCTGTCTGGAAAAAATAAGTTTACATTATGTGTTACATGTATACATATAGAGCTAGTTATAATTATGACCCAAATTCATAAATTCCATAACAATATGCATGCATCTGGTCAATCTTAAAACTCGCTTATCAATTACAGTATCAAGTATATAAGGATGGAAGGTATAACAAGAGTTCGACAAAAATATTCAGATCTGTCCAAAGTTCTGTACCGATATTTATACCAAAATATGCACCGGTCCGATATATCCAAACTTATTATAGGCATAAACATTAACAAAACAAAATAGGTACGCTGTTTAGCTGTGTATGATATTGCAATCATAAATATAGGATACTTAACTACTTAAGTTAATATTCATAGCTCAGACAAAAGTAACAATTCAATAGATGCAGGTAGGCTACATATACAAATATATTGTTAAGCACAAGACAAATGTATGAAGTACACTTGCACGTTTAAGTCTCAGGTGTCAGTTCAGTGTATATAAGTAAGTAGCACGTGTATAGTATAATGTTCAGAAAAAATATCGGTGTATTGAACTTGGATGATGATATAGTCTGTTTTGGGTAGTCGGTTAAGAACTTTTAAGACTCATCAGGTCTTTTTCACATAAGATTCGATGGATTTTGTTATTTCTATCCTTGACCATGACAATTCCGTCGTATGTCCAGGCACTGAGTATGTATTGCTCCTTTGCTAGCTGACGAATCTTATTAAACAGTGCAGCACGCATTCTGGTGAGATCTTCGTTTACAGATAAGCCCCGTAGTTTACTTGAAGCAATATGGCTCCATCTTAATAGGTAAACATAAAAAATTAAATCAACTAATGAAAGAAAACATATATTTCATATAATCTTTATCACAGTTCTGAACTGACATATATGATATCTAATTTCAGAGTAAATAATATACTTTTATAGTACATGATATTATGTTGCAAACCGATTGGTCAATGTGTAAACAATGATGTATAATAAAGGAATGACTTGGCTGAGAACAGTGATCACAATATACCCGATAGATTTTTTTCAAACTCGTAACTTTGCATTGCTAGTTCTTTTATTTACTAAAGATACATTAGACAATAAGTGTGTATGTATGTAGGAAATGTACCTTTGCAGGGCTTCATCCTTTCCGTCTTTGTCGATCTTACACTGTTGACGTACGTCGTGATTTTCCTTCTTAAGAACTGCTATTTCTTGTTCTAAATTGTCTACGACATCTTTATGAACATGCGTATTTATCATTGTAGTCAGCCTTTATCAAAGAAAGTGTATTTCTTTAAAACGAATAATCAACTTTACGAAATGATACAGAACTGTAGTTTTACAATATACAATGTAATAGCAAAGTGAATCATTAAAGGGATTCATTTATTTATGATTTATTATACTCATGAACATGTTTCTGTTTTATGATTCATGTAATTTAAAAGTGAAATAAATTATGAGCTTTTATGTGAAACAAATCAGTAGCAGACTGTATAAAATGCATAAATACTAGTAAATATGCACTATTGGATACAGTCTTCCTTTGCTTTAACTTCATTTCTAAGATGTTCTTTGAGTGAGTCAATTTCTCGCTCATATTGTAGGTAGACCTCTCTGTTCGAACCTTGACTTTGCTTGTAGCTTGAAGCAACATTACCCAGTCTACATTTGTAATTATAAAAAAATATAATGGATGGAAACATATAATTTATATATTCTTTATTAGTTCTAAACGGACAAATATTCCAATGAAATATTATTTCAGAGTAATCAATATACTTTATTATTTTGTTAACCGATTGGTCAATATGTAAACAGTGATGTATGATAAAGAAATGACTGGGGTAAGAATATTAATCACAATATACCCGATAAATTTGTTTCAAACTCGTAATTTGGCATTGCTACATGTACATTGTAGTTCTTTTAGTTACTAAAGATACATTAGAAAATAAATGTGTATGTATGCAGGAAATGTACCTTTGCAGGGCTTCATCCTTTCCGTCTTTTACGATCCTACACTGTTGATGTGCGTCGTGACTTTCTTTCTTAAGAACTGCTATTTCTTGTTCTAAATTGTCTACGACATCTTTATGAACATGCGTATTCATCATTGTAGTCAGCCGTTATCATAGAAAATGTAACTTTACTATAGACATATTTCTTTATAACGAATAATGAACTTAACGAAATGATACAGAACTCTACTTTAACACTATACAATGTAAAAGCTAAGTGAATCCCTTTCATGAATATTTTAAGATAAAAAAAAGAAAAAACCTGTACTATTTGCCAGAGATGCTGTTATTTTGATTTATTATACTCATGAACATGTTTCTGTTTTATGATTCACGTAATTTAAAGTGAAATAGTTTACAAGTTTTTATGTGAAACAAATTAGTAACAAACTCTATAGAAATACATAAAAAAATATTTACTGTTTGATACAGTCTTCCTTATCTTTAGCTTCCTTTCTAAGATGTTCTTTGAGTGAGGCAATTTCTCGCTCATATTGTATGTGGACCTCTCTGTTCGAATCTTGACTTTGCTTGTAGCTTGAAGCAACATTACCCAGTCTTCATTCGTAATTATAAAAAATATAATGGTTGGAAACATATAATTTATATATTTTTTACTACAGTTCTGAACGGACAAATATTCCAATGAAATATTATTTCAGAGTAATAAATATACTTTATTATTTTGTTAACCGATTGGTCAATATGTAAACAGTGATGTAGGATAAAGAAATGACTGGGGTAAGAATATTAATCGCAATAAACCCGATAGATTTGTTTCAAACTCGTAACTTGGCATTGCTACATGTACATTGTAGTTCTTTTAGTTACTAAAGATACATTAGAAAGTAAGTGTGTATGTATGCAGGAAATGTACCTTTGCAGAGCTTCATCCTTTCCGTCTTTTTCGATCCTACACTGTTGACGTGCGTCGTGATTTTCCTTCTTAAGAACTATCATGTCTTGTTCTAAATTGTCTACGACTTGAACATGTGTATTCATCATTGTAGTCAGCCTTTATCATAGAACGTGTAACTTTGCTATAGACATATTCATTTAAAATGAATCATCGACTTAATGAAATGGTACGGTATTTAACTTTTCACTAATCAATGTAATTTAAGACATCATAGCTGAGTGGATCCTAATTATGAATATTCCAAGATAAAGAGCAGACAAACTTAACAACTAGCCAGATATGCCGTTATTGTGATTTATGAGTCTCATCGAACATGTTTTCTATGTACGATCAACGTAATAAATAAGTCAAATCGATACAAACTTTTATTTGAAACTTATAAGTTTACAGACTATATAAAATACATAAACATAAGTTTACTGTTGGGTATAGTCTTCCTTTGATTTAGTTTCCTGTCTAAGATGTCTTTTGAGTGTTGCAATTTCTCGCTCATATTGTAGAACCTCTCTGTTAGAACTCTGACTTTGCTTAATGCTATTAATATGTAAATATATATGGTATCACAATGTCAAATAATTGCAATGCAGTTTTTATCAACATACATCAGATTTGGTACCATCAGGTATGGTATATACTACAATCATAAACGAACGTAGTTTAACGTGATAATCAAAATTAATGTAGTGCCGGTTTGTGTGCTGTACATATATATGTTCCTAACATCATTATTTCAGAGTTGGGTCATTTAAAAATAAAGCAATCGACTATCCACAAAACTGATAACACATAGCCTAATTGCTTAGACATTTTTATGATACTCAATCAAATGTGCTAGAACAATAGGCTTAGATATAATATTAGAATAGCTGTATCCATTCATACGAAGTTTTAACAGTAATAGTTGCAACACAAAAAATGATATCAAAGATTGAATACGTAAAACCGTTTCAAACATTCAAACCAATGGCAATATTTTTTTCGGTAACGTTTCAAACAAGTGTACATATTTGATTTTAGTTGCTTTATAGAGAACGACACATTTCGATTTATATCAAAAATGGTCAAAATAACAAAAAAGGAAGTTCATATCATATCCTAATTTTAATGTTGACATTAAAATTATACAAAAGACATTTAGTGATCATTTTAGATGTTTCATTTGAACGGTAATTGACTCTACCTTTCTAATTTCAGCTTTAGAGAGTTTACCTCACGGTCTTTCAATTCACATTGTGTGCAATATAGTGATCTTTGCTTTTCAATAACTGATGTATTCCTTTCTATTTTTCGCTTTTTCCTGTTTAGTATCTGAAAAGAAAATATATTGACATTATCATTTTGTATACTTCCTTCGACTTGAAGCATCTGCCTCTAGGACGAGTTTAACTTATCCTGCCGTCAAATTTTGAAAATATTTAAACATGTTTCTTAAAACGTCATGCATCCAGGCAATATGGATTATCTCATGAAAATTTGTCATGATATATGTTAAACTGGTGGCACCTGGATGGTGTCAATATAAATCCCAGTGATGATAAGAAAAAAACTAGACAAATAATAGAATAATTTATGATTTTGGAACAAATTTAACAGAATGCATTATTTGCATGGTATTCACGAAATATCTGAGCCGTAGGTCTGGATTGAACATTTTTTGTATATAACAAGTAAGTGATGCCTTATGTCAAGTATGAGGTTCAAGAAAAGAATAAATCACTTTCTCTATTAGGTAGGTCAAACGCCGACATGGACTTTGAATACTTTTATGTGAGGAAGGTAAGTGAAGAGGAATAGTTTTCGGACAAACATAACAGTGATTTTTTGGCGGCCGCAGTATTGATCTCACATATATATTTTGACAAGAAAGAAAAACAACATTTGCCTTCCTTAACTATGTAAATATCTATTTAACAACACACTAAGTTCATTCCATTGTCGTGACATTGACCATTAAGCTAGCGACATTATTATTCATTGCCATCAAGTGTATTTATTTATATTGAAATTTTGTATCATGCAACTGTTATGGCCCGGACACGAATATTTACAGCATTCATACTTTATAACAATGCATAAAGTTCAATCATTGCTGTGACCTTTGAGTAAGGTATAAAACACATTGTCTAGATATGGTGGTACATGTATATTGTACCAACATGAAATTCAATCATACATGCAGATCTGTCAAGGACACGAACTCTGCAATTAAAACTATAAGACAAATACACTATTCCCTCCTGTTGTCTTCTTATTCCTTTGTGTACAAGTGTATTTTGACGTCTTTATGCAAGACAAATACTTGTTCGAACACATACACTTACGCACTCACGCAAGCACGCAACTTCTTTATAACATTTACAACAAATGCAATAAGCACGCCAGAATATCAATCTCAGTTTAAAAAGAAGCATACAAATTGCCGGAATAAATTGTCCCGAAACTCTCATCAAACCACCGCATGAGCAAATGGACATTATTACACAATTTAGCAACAAAATTAATTAGATATGTAATACTTTAGAAACTCTCTTACTAGACCTCGTCACAACAATGTTATGTAACTTTTGTCACTATTTATAAAGTAATAATCTTTGCTGTTTTATTTCCATAACCCTTATTCTTCTTTACAATTCTTTATTTAAGCATATTTATATTATCAATATATCTATGCAATAAACGTAACAAACGAATTATTTCAAATAATTTAAAATGTTTAGATCTCTAATCCTTGTAATACTTACACTATCTATGAAAGACATTTCAGTCTTAAGTGCTTCTAGATAATCTGTATATTTAGTTTCATATTTTTCCAGGTGTTTACTCTTCGCCTTCATCTGTTCCTCATGTACTTTCTCTCCGTATTTATGAACAGCGTCTGCAGCTTCAAACATCGCTTTACAGTGGAGTTTTATTTCGACTGTAGGATGGTCGAACCTAGAAATCGTCTCTTGATCCGCGTCATGTCTAAAAATTGGAAAAAAATGATCATGTCAATGTCTCAGAATTTAAGTTGTAGCAATTTACCTAGTGCTGTGCAGAACTGAATGCAAAATATATGTTATGAAAATTACATATAACATTCAAATAAAAATAATAAAATCTTTGAATGTGCTTTGAAACCGTCGCAAAGAACAGCCAGTTAAAATCTGATAAAAACAAAAAACATTGCGTGATTTTTTAGCTATAAAAGGACAAAAATAGCGTTTAGAGTTGCTATTTAAGTCAATTTTGGATAACTTAATAGATTCGAATCTATGATAAATTTTTAAAGCATTAACTACATTATTATTCTTTCGAATATTTTTTATGTTTTAGAAGAAAGTCTTTTCAATTAAATGATTTTTTCAATCAATGCAAATAACTATGGTGGCTGATTAAGAAAACACTTTTCTGCGTCGTGTTGTCGCTAGCGACAGCACGGCAAAAGGCCAAACGGCGCGTTGTCGGACTTTCGTCTTTTCGTCCTTTTCGCTTACGATGCACGCCAATCGGCGCGTTGTCAAGGCGGCGTGTTGTCGCGATGTCACATTGTCTCTCGGCTCAAATAGAAGGATTGACTATTTGTGTATATATATACTTATGTAGCAGGAATGCCTATCATTACATTTTACTGATATAATCTTATTTTCAGAATAATATATAAACAATGAATATTTTTCCTTAGCCTTATTTATACATTTAATATCTTTTCAAAATCATTCAACAGGCACTATTTTTTCTATCTATAGTAACAGTAAGCATAACTTAATGCATTATTTCATGATATTCATGCTATTCATATCTTATGTAAGGTTTTTATCCAATAGAGGGTTGTTCATTAAATTTAACTTAATACACTTCAATACATTTTAAAGCACAATATTGATTCTCTATATTGTTTACTTAATATTTTGTAACATTCCTCTTTTTGTTATTTATTTTCAAGTCATGCATTTTTCATGAATTGTGTGATTGCAGAGAGAAGTGGCTATATAAGCCAGTATTTTCGGTCATTTCATTGCCTTGTCGACAGATGCAAAAGGTAGCGTATGCCTATTATCGCCTGACTTGGTCATTTCTCTCTATTTTCCCTATGTTGTTTTTTTGTAACTAATATTTTCATTTCGTGACATTTTAGGAAATCAATTTAATACTTTGACATAGAAACATATTATCTTAAATCTATTTTGCAATAAAATTGTTGAACTCTGAAATGCCTATGTTTTTCATATTTGAATTTTCAATTTAATCTTCAATGAACCTGGGTAAATAACTAGGACGTTAATTGTGATCACTTTTTGTCCGTTTGTCCGTCCTGTTACATTTGGTGCGTAGTGACCAAGATTATTTTAAAATTCAATTTTACTTTTTGTACTTTGGTAGCCATTGAGAATTGAATTTGTGAAATCTTATTCATAAATTGTTTCTACCTCATAATTCTGAAAATTATTGACATTTTTACTGAATCAATATATCATAGGGTTAATTAAATAAATTGATGTAGCTCTATAGATGGCATCTCACAGTAAATGTAAAATTGAAGACACTGGTCATTTCAATTTGTGTAATAAAAAGTCAGATTTTATAGGAATTTCTCAACCTACTAGTCAGTTACAAGGCTGGGGAAATTGTCCAATAGAAAGGGGTATTTTACATAATTTGACTTCTTTTGAAAATGACACATGCATGCAGGGTGTTTTAATACCTGAAAAGTGTTATGATTTTCCATCAAACAAATCAAAAGAATTAAAGTTTGAACAAATTACTCAAATTTCTGAGCCACCGTTTTATAGCTGTCCAACATCACCTAATATTCAAGATAAACCTATTGTTATTCCTGTTCAGCATAATTATAAAACTGAAGGTGAATTAGAGATTGGACATCCTGAAAACTCTCAGACATATGAAATGCAATCTAACATGTATTCTCCAGTCTCTTCTTACATGGATCTTCCAACACAAATTACATGTACACTTGAATCAAATGATCTACAGGGTGTAACACAAAATCAGACCTTGAATACATTTCATAATAAAAGTTGTCAAGCTGACTTACACATTTCACATGATGAAAATTCCATACCACGTGTTGTGTTAAAGGGTGATTTATATTCTTCCAAAAATCATACACCTTCAACTTTACAAAAACCTATTAATTCTCAAATTACACATGATTCATATAACACAATTTGTAATCCAAATCAGACTGTTTCTAATCAAAGTTATGTGCCAACGATTAAGAAAGACATACATACTCAAAGTTATTCACCACTGAGAGTAAATCCATATAACAATGAAACTATGTATGGTGATTATCAAGCTACAGTGACTTTGCAAAATCCTCAAAATAGAGAAAACATGCATTACACATACATGTACACTTCACCTAAACCTCAAGTACAAGTTGCATCAAAGTCCTCCTGTCCTATAGTTGACACAAATGTTTTTAAAAGTAGGGTACATGTACCTTCTGCAAACAATGATAATTATCATGTACAGGGTGTGTCCAAAAATTCATACTCAACAAACAATATGGAATTTAAAGGCAGTTTGCCTGATATACAGCATCAATTGCTATCTTCACAAAATGTTCTGTGTGATACAGCTGCTTATCATCAGCATTCAAGATTAAATCAGTTGCCACATATTAACACAGATCAAGGGCTTATCAATAGTCCTAAGCACAAAGGCTTGCTGCCTGAATCATACATACATATATAGATAGCACATTCCCTTTAAAAGTTTACGAATAGAAGCATCCATTGGGAAGCTAAATCTCCAGCAATAAACAGCCAATTTCAGTATAGGCAAGAACATAATGGCTTTGGCATACCTATCAGTCGGAACCAATTAATATGCAGCATGTCTTAAGCCAAGAAACAACAATAAACACAGAAATCACTCAACCTGAACCAGTCACTCCTTACCTTACTAGAACTGGTAGAAGAGTTAAACCGAAACAAATATTTTCACCTTCTTAAATTTACTTTTGATGCAAGTCTCAATAAATTGCAACAAGAAGTAATATTCCTACAAATAAAACAATAATATCTATAATTATATAATCGTATGTTTATATGACATGTTAAATTACATGTTTTATGATATATATATTTCTAAATTGTCTAATTGTAAATAGAACTGTAAGAGTAAAACAACTCTTAATGACAATTTACTAAAACCATGTGAGCGTATTTGTATATACATGTAATATTATATTAAATGTATTATGATGATTATTACACTGCTGCTTTGTTTGATAAAATTATTTAAAATTTGAGCTTGGATGGATAACAAACTTTAAAATGTTATTCAGAAATAGCCAAATTTTGCTTTATTAATTTGTATGTATATTTGCATTATTCAAATGTATATATGTTATAAACGTTGAATTGAAGAACAAATCAGAGTTCCTTTTTACATCAATTTAACTAATTCATGGGAAATAGAGATATTATGTTTTAAGTCTATGATTTCTTAGTAATAAATTAAGTTATTGCTAAATGCATATAAATTATGTTTTTAAAGAAAGGATTTGAAAGAGTCATTTTGATTTATCCTGTTTTTAGTTTGAAATATATGACATAAATGCGGATGTACAACTCGGTTTAAAGAAGACCACTTGTATTTAATAAAAGATTTGGCCAATCTTAAAATACACAATTGAATGGTCTGGCTCTTTAACAAATGAGCCTAGGAAATTGGTTTTCCGACGATGGAACTTATCTCAGAAAGTTTTGTCATCCAGACTGAGACATTTTGTTCAATTATTTTCAACTGATTACTGGAATAATATTAAAAATGATTTTTTTTCTTGTATTTTTTCAGAAAAATGGATAATCTAGAGATCTTAGCAGGTTACTCTGAAGCATTAGATGAGTTTAATGCTCAGTTTATAGATAATGACCAGAAGCCAGCAGAAAGGCCTCTCTGGCCTAATATTCCCTCCTGCTGCCCAGTTGAGGACTGTTTGGAAGTTTACCAGAGTTTCAGCAGCTTTGAACGACACTGGAACAATAAACATGTCAATAAAATAAAATTATACAAGTGTCCAAACTGCTCTTTCAAGTCGGCTAGAGAATATAATGTAAGGAAACACCAAGAAAAGGTACATAAAATGAAGAGTGCGATTGAATTTGAAAAATCTGAAAATGGAAAATACATTAATCCAGGAGACAAACTTCCATACAGGTTTGATCACCGCCAAAGAATGTCTAATAAAAGAAAAGCTATTGAAGGGACAGACCTTCTAGTCAGAGGCGGACAAGTGTGCCGGGATCAGTTCGCGGAAGAACACAAGGGAAATGTCGTTGTTAAATACAAACAGAATAAAAAATAAACTGTTTTGAATTCAATAATCAGAGTGAAACAAAAATTATATGTGATTGATTATTTTCTTATTTTATGTTGTTATATTATAACATGTTGTATTATTCCTGCATTTTTTTTTTATTTTAACAAAATGATTTTTGAAAATTTTGGTCTTAAGAAGGGGGAATGTAGCAGGAATGCCTATCATTACATTTTACTGATATAATCTTATTTTCAGAATAATATATAAACAATGAATATTTTTCCTTAGCCTTATTTATACATTTAATATCTTTTCAAAATCATTCAGCTGGCACTATTTTTTTCTATCTATAGTAACAGTAAGCATAACTAAATGCATTATTTCATGATATTCATGCTATTCATATCTTATGTAAGGTTTTTATCCAATAGAGGGTTGTTCATTAAATTTAACTTAATACACTTCAATACATTTTAAAGCAGAATATTGATTCTCGATATTGTTTACTTAATATTTTGTAACATTCCTCTTTTTTGTTATTTATTTTCAAGTCATGCATTTTTCATGAATTGTGTGATTGCAGAGAGAAGTGGCTATATAAAGCCAGTATTTTCGGTCATTTCATTGCCTTGTCTACAGATGCAAAAGGTAGCGTATGCCTATTATCGCCTGACTTGGTCATTTCTCTCTATTTTCCCTATGATGTGTTTTTGGTAACTAATATTTTTATTTCGTGACATTTTAGGAAATCAATTTAATACTTTGACATAGAAACATATTATCTTAAATCTATTTTGCAATAAAATTGTTGAACTCTGAAATGCCTATGTTTTTCATATTTGAATTTTCAATTTAATCTTCAATGAACCTGGGTAAATAACTAGGACGTTAATTGTGATCACTGTGTGTCCGTTTGTCCGTCCTGTTACATTTATATATATAAGCTTAGCGACAGAACGACATCGCGCCGCACGACAACGCGCCATTTTGTGTGTTTCGCTAGCGACAAGACGACAGTGCGAAAACGCGCGTTTGACACGTTTCGCTCAGGACGACAAGACGAAAATGCGATAACGATATAGATTGTGTTGTCACTATCGACAACGCAACGCGCAAAGTGTACCAAATCAGCCACCATAACTAACACTAGCTCAGATATTTTTTCTGGCTTATCAAAGCCACAGTTTATGTTATACGTGGCCGCTTTCTTTCTTTCTTTCTTTCTTTCTTTCTTTCTTTCTTTCATTTTAATATATCAACTGTCAATCGAGTTATTGTAGAAAAAAAATCACGAAAATCATTATCGTGTCCAATGTAAATAAAAGAATAAATTTGCAACTAAAACTTGTTTCAAAGGAATCGAAATCGAAAGTGCTTCAAAAATATGGCAAAATAAACGTAAAAAGCTTTCTTTGTTAAAGTCAACATACTTTACCTACCTTTCAATAAATCCAGCTTGCTCGTTTTCTTCCCGTTCTCTTTTTCTCCTATCTGACATTTTAAATCATGCATTTAAAGATCTAAACCAGGAAGCTATATGTCTACAAACACTTGAAAAACTATAATTATACATATAGAAATCAATACAGTATGCGACCTTTTACAGAGTAAAATCATTAAAGGGTGTATTTTGCTTTGTTTTATTTACTGTAGTATGTTTATACTATCTAGAGGATTAAGCAGTTTTTCAAATGCACATTTAAAACGTTTAGAAGTAGCTTTATCATTTGTCATTGAAATATAAACTAGAAATGCGTCCATAGGACATAGATGATTCCACTTTTTTGACAGTTTACTGACGTTCAGCAGGACATTATACAGACGAACAGACATAGGAAATTAAACATGACTCCATCTCCCCTTAAGTGGTTTGGACAAAAAAATGACCTCCATATTTTCCATTGTTAAAATCTTGATTTCTACCAATATTAAGCTGTAAAACAAGCAAAACTCCAGATGCAAAACTACACATATGCTGAACAACATACCTGCAACAGATTAAATACGTTTTCAGCTACGCAAAATTGCAAATACTGATCAATGTTCCCGTAAAGTTTATTGACTATATTTCAAGCACTTTGAGAGGTACACGTGAACACATTTTGGTGCGGTTTTTACAAAGTCAAGAGCAAATACTCTACAAATACATATACGTCACGCAAACCCTAGGTGACTGACTAATATTTCTGTATTTTTGGGCTACGCGCGAAACAAGTTGCAAATTGCTTTTTTTTAGTCAATGGCAATAACTACAAATACTGAACAAATCCATAGGCAATCCCCAGCTGCAAACTACACATATTGACCAATATCCCTGTAAAGTTTCATGCCATTAGATCAAATTGATTTTGAGCTATACGGGGGACAAATTGAAAATTCTATATTGTTTAACTGTAACAAAACTCCACACGCGAAAGCCAAGGTGCACAACTTCACATGCTGATCACACGCCGTATACATAAGATAAAAATTCCATGGGGAATTGTTATTGGCCTGTGTGTTTGACGTCATAAGGCCAAACAAAATGATTTCGAGGTTCTGGTAACATGCTGAAAAATAGTAGGGTCAGTAGGGCGGAAACACATTTTTTAATTAGTATTTTATTAAAATTTAACTGATGTCAGATATATACACTATAGAATACTCCATTGTTCTAGGTTAGGTGCGGAAATACAGGGTCGGTCAGGTTACTGGAGCCGCAAGATCATTTTGTTTTTGCCTAATCTCGCGTGAATGAGCCTCGCGAGAATTGTCTTTTTTTTTAAACATGAACGAATATCAGTATATAATTAAGTTATCATAATTATTTGAAAATAAATCCGTGATGAAATAATTTAAAATGAAAAAGCAATGCTTTCATTTAGACACGTGACTAAAGTTCTCGCTAAAAAAAACAACATCCTATGAAAATGCGTTATTTACACCACGTGGATTACACACGCATAGGGGTTTGCCTTAAATACGAAAGAGACTTTTTGACCTAGCCGGTGCTAGGATCATGGACGGTAGTTTGCACTTGACAGTACCGTCCATGAACAGGCTCAATCAAACTGAGCCTGCAACATTTTCAATTTTGCCGTGTTGGGCTTTCTTTAGGGATTCTTTTTTCTCTATTTTTGGACGAAAGAGAGCGAAAGTGAGCGAAAATGACTTTAAAAATATGAATTATAGCGTTTTATTAGAATTTTACAATATTATAATATAATAAAATTGCAGTTTGCAGACGAATAATATTATCAAAAATAAACATAATATTGATTTAATCGCCAGATCTTCCTTTTGCAGATACATGTACATTGAAAAATACCAAAGTTACTTATAAAATATCCAAAAAAAAAGCTTTTAAAATGGAATTTATGCTAAAATTGCATTTTGTACACGTATATTATCAGAAATTAATAATATTTATTGTCAAAAATAATCATTATGAGGATTTATACCCCATTTATTTGCATGATTTTTATATTCAAGTTTCGCTCACACTGAAAAATACGAAAGTGACTTATAAAATATTAAATATAGTAATTTAATTGAAATTTATAGTAATTTTGCAGTTTGTAGACGTATTTTTCATAAATGATTGAAATTTTTTTTCCCCAAAAATAATGATTATGATGATTTAATATCAAATTATTTGCATAATTTCTATACCGTATACAAGTTCAGAGATCTTCCTTTCGCTCACAGAAAACAATAAGAAAGTGATTTATTCGGACGACTGTGAACGAGAGGAACTGAAAGTAAAAATATAAAATGTAGCATTTAAATTTATGGGTCGTCAGACCAAACAAATAATGGTAGCGAAATTTCAGACCCTGATGTTCTTATTTGCAAATGTTGAAAGTAGTCCAAACTCTTCGAAGCGGTTACTTCCCTTCATATGTACATTAACGCCGAAAAATTAACGGGAGATCACTGCGTAATGATTGTCAAATGACAGGCTCATTAATTTTCGTAACGAAAGAAATAGTTTCCGATTGGTCGAAGATTTCTTATATTGTGTTATTCTTATAGATATATTTGCTTATATTCAGCTCCATAATTATTTACTTCAGTGTTAAAGAACAGGTTTACCGTGAACAAAATATATCGAAATAAATAAAGGTTACAAACTCTAAGTTAGAATAATATGGTGTTCTTCAGGCTGTTATCTTATAAATCCCCGTCGTCGAGGGGTTTACACGCTCGCTTTGGAAGCGAGAGGTCTGGAGTTCAAACCCCAGTTCAGGCAACCCATTTTTTTTATTTGTTTTTATTTATTTATTTATTTTATTATCATATTTGTTTAAGCCAAATAAACATTGAATTGAATATCAGTGTTGCAATTAGTCTTATAGCCAATTTACTATAGCTATAACACTGGAAACAGCATTGGTGACACTATACAAACAAATTGGTTTATACTCCCACAACCTACACCTTTCTGACATTCTGAGACCCAAACAAATTCAGCGCCTTCTGAGCTTTGATTATCTTATGTTTACATTGATTGGATCTCTGGTCAATAGTTTAAGAAATCAAATGATTGGTATATGGATGGTTGATTTCAAGATATTTTTATGTCATGTGATTTCTCGGTGGGAGTGTCATTGTGTCTTTGTTATTGTCAAAAAAGATGTTGTTGGTCAAGTTCTTTATTTTTTAAGTTAGTATGTATTTTTAGATGCTTTATTGTAAATATGGAGAATTGCATTATTGTGATTCTCTGTTGATTGATTGTGAAATTCGTTCTTTAGGGATACTTTATTTCTCTCTATTTTATCACATAAGCGTTGTTAGTGCCGTGTGAAGGCCGTAAAATGTCGCCCGTACTTTCAATCAGGGATGTTATTTTTCCGATCCTTAAAGATCGTCCAGCACGACGTTATTGTTGGTTTCAGTATTCCTCACTTGAATACTGTTTAATCACCCTTAGGATATCGGGCCTGCTTTTAATATTTGTATTTTGGAAACTTACCTGTGATG